GGCTAAAGTTGTCCTCACCCTACCACAAAGCAAGGTGCATCTTCTCCAACCTACAGGCTCCATCCATACCTATCAGTGGTTCCCACTCCCCCTTTGAGGCAGGTGGGCTATAAATAGCACTGTAAATCCAACCAGGAGAGCTGCCAGGGACAGGGCAGCCCCAGCTCCACATCCAGAAACCTGCAGGGGCTCAGACTCACATGTGCTTTCCAATCCAATTATGTATTGGAGGAAGCCAACCTTCCCCAACACCACCGTGGGCCGAAAGGAGAACTGCAAATCCAAGCTCTCAGATCTCAAATTCTCCCTGTGATGTTTTGTCTCTGGATCCAAGGAAAGCAGGGTCTCGAGGGTTCAGGGTAATCCAGAGGGTTGTTCGTGGAACTGATCAGTACTGAGAATTTTCTACTAAATGGAGTTGATACCTGTTGGAAGTGCTGGCCATATTCCAGAGCTGTCTGATGTGAGTGAAAACCCTCACCCCCAATGGCAAGTCCAAATCTAAAAAGCCCTTCAAAGTCAGCAAACTGATGGGATTTGATGAAAAATGAAATCCAGGCCACAGAGTGAAAGTATTGGTTTTTAAGCCAAGGTTCTATCTCTGCGAGGAATTTAGCATAGAAAAGGCTTTGAGTGAAATATTTGGATGGAATAAATAAACCCTATTTCTTCTGGGGAAGTTTCAAATAAATGGAAATTTCTACTGCTCCATTTTCAAATAAACATTTCAAAATGGTCCAAGAGCTTTGTCTTGTTGGAAATAGAATTCCTAGGGCTGGTCCCAGGTTGACATTTGCAAACTCAACTCGCCCTTTACACCTGCACCTACACACAGAATAATTGTAGGTAAGTTGTATTTCTTTGACTGGAAATGATCTGCACAAAAGCAGTGACCCATAAATTAAATGCCTAGGGAAGGAATGCAAGGAATATGGAATCCTGCTATGCTCCCTTAGTGATGACAGGTATTAGTGGCACATGATTCGACCAGACACACCAGGAAAAAAATCCAAACCAAGCATAAAAAACTGTGCAAAACATCTCCATGGGTACATCTCTGCTTTTCTCCTGCCACTGCAGTGAAGAGCCAAGCATGTAATGAGAGATTGAGCAAAGGAAAAATCAAAAGCCAGTGGATTTTGGCACCTGGTTGTTTTACAGCAGAGTTGTTTGCAGGAAGGACATACCCTGTTTGCAGGAAGGAATTACTCCTGTGCTGTTTGCAGGGAGACAAAACAGACATTTGTTAAACTCAAGTGGGTTTTTTGTATCTCCTGAAAGAAATCAGTAAAAATTCCCAGGGGTGAATTTCAGCCATGGGTGTTGTCCCAAGCATTCAAGGAAATAGGGATCCACTTCTAAGGAAGCCCATCAGGCACCTGGATTATGAAGCTGTGGCAACTCTTACTGACATTGTGCTGGGAACACCACGGACCAGCCAGCACAGGAGGTAATTACAGATGCTGGGTTCAAACCAAAGCACTGGCAGATTAAATATTTCTCATTAAACAATACCACAGCATCTTTAATGCCCACAAGTGGTCAGGAGCTGGTTTTCTGTCTCATCTGTTGAGCTGTTTGATACGATCATACACCTCACAACACTTAATGCATTCATTTTCTAAAATGATCCTTGAGCAAGGAAAACATTCCCTAACATTTGCAGGAGAGACAAGGAGTGAAGAAGACACACCAGGAGTTTCTGGCAGAGCAAAGAACCGAACCCAGGTGTCTCCCAACCCACTCCTCCCTGGGCCACCCATCTCCATCCCCATCCATGGAACCTTTAATCCAAGGGCAGAGGCCTCCATGCATTAGATATGGGGGAGATTTTTGGGGGGATTTTTCTTTTCCGTAGCTCTGCATTCTTATCCTATTTATTTCCTCATTCTGCAGGGCTGTGGACGAGCCAGCAGAACTGGAGGGAATATTTCTCCAGCACGTTATTCAGTGCCTTCCTGATGGGCTGCACAGGCAGCTTTGTGAATGAGCAAGGGTTGCAAAATGCATTTTGCCTGGGGCAGTGAAATCGCTGGGGCCAAGCAAGTCATTTGGTTTCGCTCACACTTCCCCTGCCCTACCTCTATCTTAGTTTTTCCCTTTTCTTTCTCCCTTTGTTGTCTTGGTTACACGGGCAGATTCCTGATACGCTGCTAGTTTTCATTTTAATGATATGCTCCCGTAAAGCACAATATTTTGCTTCAAGTTGTGTGTGCCACTGGATAAACTCCTCTGCCACGTGTGACATTTGTGTATCAACTGACAGATATTGCTTTATGACTGTGGGTATTTTGCAGAGAACTCACAGATCACATAAATCAAAATCAGATATGCAGTCTGCCACTTTCTTAGGAAAATACACACAGAGAGGAAAATGCTGGAATTGCGGGGGGGGGAAAAAGACGGAAAGTTTCTCCCAAACCATCTTGCAGCAAGTCTTCCAACCACTGAGTAAATCCTGCTATCTTGGAGATAATCTCCTGACTCTTTCATGTTATCCAAAATGTTCCACTGCAGCTTGACTGAGTAGCTGCACTGTACCAGAAGCAGCCTGGTAGGAGCCAACAGCAGGAAAAAAAAAAAAAAAAAAAGGAGATAATTCCTGGGATTTGTCCACTGGTACCTGGAGTTTCATATAATCCTACAAAGTTCATCCTAATTTAGTACTGTTTTTTAAACAGAACACAAACACCATGCCAACATAATGTATTATGCTGGAGTTGCAATCTCAATGCAGTATTTTCCTTGCTTCCTATTCAACAGCACCTGATGGATGGAAAACAAAGCATCAGAAGGCCCATGAAGTCTTGACAGGGGCCAAGGGGAATCCAGGGGAAATCCTGAGTGCCAAACTGGCCTTGTGTAGCACCCAGAGGGGAAACCAGGCTGGTGTCCTGAGCTCAGACACCCTCAGGAGCACTGGGGGAGGACAATAAGTAGAGGAGAGTCAATAATTGCACAAGTCACTGCAAGGATGGACCGTACCTGCAGGAACTAAATGCTACCAGGAGTCTGGATCAAGTGGTCCAAAACAACACCACATGTTCAGAGGAGCCCCATTTTGCTTTGTGTTCTGCCTCTCTGGTGGAGATTTACTCATCCAAGAAAGGTCCCAGCCCAAGGCTCCAGCCCTGCTCCAACTCATGCACCCAAAGCAGTAACAACCACAGGCAGAATATTCAGCACATGAGGAAAAAGGGAATGAAATGAAGCTTTCTCAAATTACATCAGCCACTTCAGCTCCCCTCTTCTCATTCTTTACCCTATAAGGCTGTCCTTGCTCCCTACCACACTCCTTGAAGCACGGAAAGCTCTCTCTCCTATTTTCCCCTATTAAAAAGGAATCAGATCTTGGATTCTGCAACGTGACCCGCAAAGGCAAAGAGAGCTGTGGCTGAGTTTGCTTCTCCTGGAGCCAAAGGAAAAACCAAAGGCTTGGGAGTGCAGGGAGGCAGCAGTCATTAACTGTTAAGGTCTTTTGGATATTTACCATTCAGATCTCGGCCACCCCATTCCCCCCCCCCATGCAAGAGACTGACTGGAGAACTGAACAGTTTATTATGATATCACAGATGACAGGGAAGCAAAACCTAATTAGTCAGGGGAGGAGATTATTTTCATTATGACCATTTAAAAAACAATTTGGCTCCTTTTCCACGTGCCTGAATTAAAAAAAAAAAAAAAACAAAAACACAAACAAAGAAACAAACCACCAACATATTCTCTTTTCAAAAGCACAAGCAGCCTTTCCTCTGTTGAACAAAACCAGAGACATTTGCCAGTGGGCAGGATCTCATTCCCCTTGCAGCCCTCCCTCAGCATGGGGAAAATGCCATCTGAATTTACAACCCTGGTTTTCTTTTCAAGTGCAGAGACAGGTAGAGGAATAAAAACAGATTTCAGGCATTCCTTAAGCATCTATGAGCAAGCAACTCCCTTCCCCTTGTCCTCTCTTCCCATCCTCTGCACAAGACACAGTGGGTCACCTTCTCAAAGCACCTTCCTTTCCCCAGCTTGGAAGTCTTTACTTGCAAGAGGGATTCAAAGAGAGAACAACACCCAACACAACCCCCAAGGCTCTGCCCAACCTCCCTTTCCCAACCTCTCACCATTATCATGGCAAAGCCACACAGTCTCCTTGCACATACAATATTTTACAACCCTCCCTGGGCTGAGCTTTCAGACAAACATTGTCAGACTGGCACAAAGAGGTTCAAATGGAGGCAAGGTCCATCATTAACATGAGAAGGTCACTTTTAACACCTCTTCTTCCCTTGAGAAAACCACAGGTAGATGATTCCACCTCGCAAGCCTCTCTTTTATTGCCTTACACGGCAAACTGCAGAGCTACTGCCATGCAAAGGGCATTTTCTAGTGAGAACACACAGGGAGGAACATAAATACACTCTTTATTGCATTTGAGATTATGTGGCATCAACCATAAACATAAAAGCTCATTATCCTTCAAGACACAGCTTTCTTTTGATGAAAACACTCTTCCTTCAGCACAAGCACCAGGCCTGACACAAACAGAGCAACCACTAATCCCATGCTGGACTCGTGCTGAAATCACAGCCCAGTCACATTGAAAGACCTCCAGAGCATGAATCCTGTTGCTTAAGCTTCAGCCACAATCAGTTTTCCTCCAGCATGCACAGATACCCTGTGACCAACTGCTTAATTAGAGATGGTCTGAGCACAGACAACTCTGTTGGATGTGAATTACATCAAGCCTGTCTGTGACTGGACGTGTGGTTTGACTTCAGAAACGTTCATCTTCTGACGAGCGACAATTTGGAAGAAGGATTTTTATCCTTATCTCAGATTCTCTCAATCCCTCAAGGGTGAAACACAGGGTATTTTTGCCAACCAAAACATTTTTTTTTAATCCTCAAAACAGGAGAATCTTAGCATAAAAACTGTTCTCAGGCTCAATGCAACGCAGCAAATCTCCTCAAGAACATGAAAATCTGGAGTTAGAGGACCACATCGGGTCTTACCTTTTTGAGCTTCCCGCTCTTGGTGCCCACAAAAGCCAGGGAGTGGTTCTTGTAGACGTAGGCAATCACAGATGTCATCCTGTCTCCATCCTCAGTATAAATGGGGAGCCCTCTCACCATGGATGATACTCCCAAGGGGGCATTCATGTCCAGGCCACAGAAATTGTCATCGATTGTTAACAGCTGCAAACAAAAAGAAAAAGAGGGTGTAAACAAGTGAAGTCACCCATTCTTTAGCCATTTGGGAAGTGTCCACCAGTTGCATAACAGGTCTGTAATTTAGGCAAGCTGACAAACCCCTGAGGGCTGGAGAAACAGAGAGGTGGAAAAAAAGTTTGTCCAAAAGTTGTGTGATGAGTTACAGGCAGAAGGAAAACTGGAAACTTGGTTGTCTTGAATGACAGCCCAGCAGGATACATTACTTTAAGCCTTTTTCCTACTGCTTTACCAGTCAGTTCAACCAGTCAAGACCCAGCAGTCAAAGACAAAATCTGCTGAAAATGCCTTAAACATATCTAGTTCTGTCAAAAAAAAAGTATGCAAGTTATTCCCATGGGATCCAGAATAAGAATCACCGAACTAAATCTGCCCTGGCAAATAAAAAAGACCCTGACCTGCCCTCTGGGCCCAAGACCCAATATAATAATCACATCTATGAAATCTAAATAATCCTCCCAATTCCAAACTCTTTAGGATTGCTCATGCTACATCTTGGACATTACAGTCCTCCAAGGCATGTCCAGGAATTGTCTGGGAGAGAGATGGTCAGCCCAGGCCAAATCTGCAGTAAAGATCATCATAAGAACTAAACTCTATAAACTTAGAGCCCCTTCCAGTACCTAAAGGGGCTCCCAGAGAGCTGGAGAGGTATTTTGGACAAGGGTGAATGGCTTCAAACTGACAGAGAGGAAGGTTAGATTGCACATTAGGAAGAAATTCTTCCCTGTGAGGGTAGGGAGGTCCAGAAAAGCTGTGACTGCCCCATACTTTGAAGTGTCCAAGGCCAGATTGGAGCAACCTGGGAAAGTGGAAGGCATCCCTGCCCATGGCAGGGAGTAGAATGAGATGGTCTTTAAGGTCCCTTCCAACCCAAACCATTCTATGTTTCTATGATTCTCCATCTTACAGGGATACTGCAATTCACTCAAGTTCTTTGGAGAGGAGGGAAGGTTTCCCAGCTATTAAGGAAGCTTTCCAGCATTTGTTGGAGACACCCATGAACTCCCACCAACCAGAGGAAAGCCCCTGTTCATTAATGCTGCTGCCTAAGCTCTAATTTAACCTGTTGCATTTGAACTCTACAGGATTGTCATCAGACAGATGCTCCACCTGGATCCTCTCACATGAATGCACATGGTGTCTGGATATCTCTGAGGGTGTTTCCTTGGGCTTCAAGGAATTATAGAAGCACAGTGGCAGTGAGGTACAGACACTACCAAAGTAGGTGAAGCTAATCCAAGTTACACATCTCCCCAGAATAAGTCAAATAAAGCTGAAGCCCCAAAAATCCCAGCACTCAACTGCCAAAGCAGTTGGACTTTATTAACTTCTCTGTGACCACTCACAGATTTGAAGTTGAGCATTCACTTAAAATGTTTTGGTAGACTAAGGCCTAGGAAGGCAATAATTGACTGTACAGGCAGGTTACCTAATTTTGATGTATCAGGAATAAAGGACCATGACAATTTTCTTTGTGTGAGCTCACATCTTCCTGGAAACATGGCTAGAATTTGTGATGCTCCATGCTTGAGTTCACCAGCAGTAAAAGCCTGATAGCTGATTCACTTTATCCTCACCCAGCAATTACAGGCAATAATTACAGATGGTTTTTACCGAGTGGAAGAATAATGTGTCCTAAATGTGTTTATAAATACATAAAACCTATGAGGAATTCGAAGAGCCATTAGTAAGGATCAGCTATCCTGAGCTCTGGCCTGCAAGAGTCATTAGTGTTTGTGGACTGCCCTTTCAGAGCTAAAACACCGGCTCAAAGAGCAATTACAGAGCAGATCAACAGCCTCCACCAGCAGCAGACAGGACAGCTACTAGTGCATAATGCCAGCACAAAGTCTAAGGTAAATCTGCATCCCAGCTTTGTCACACAGGTCAGCATAGAAATCCATAATCAGCAGAGGAAAGATGCATCATACTTGAAAGGCCCCCTAATGTCCTTCCAACTTGAATTGTGCTGTGGATGTAGGATCTGAGAAGAATCCAAACCTTCAAGTCAGACACAGTTTGACCAGAAACTCTTAAGCTCTCAAATTAGCACAATTTGTGTTTCAAGGGTATAATAAAACTGCATAAGTGCTCATTCTAATGGTCTGTCAAGCTGAAAAGAATCATTTCAGACTGAAAGCAAGAAATTCCCAAATGGCAGAAAGAGGGGAAAGGGAAGAAAGTTTTTAAGGAAAACAAGATAGCTTTCCTCCCCACCGAGAGCATGAAAAGCTTAATGGTGCCAGCAGACGCCTTACCTTGGGTGCAGTGCACAAAGCTCCATCTCCAACGAGAGGAAATTACACTGACAAGCAGTGAAATGATATAAATCAAGCAGAGCTGGCACTGTCAGAGGCATCCTCCTTGGAGCAGCTCACATTCCCTCCCTGCAGCACAGCCAAAACCAACTACTCCAGCTAAAGCACTTGAGACCAGAAAGGACCCATGGAATCATCTGGCTGCCTTCCTGCATGATCTAAGACTTCCAGTCTCAGGCAGGAGTCTTTAACAGACTCACAAGATATAGAGCCAGAGATCCCAGCATCAAGCACAATCACCTGTGGCTGATCTGCAGCTCATCTCCCACCTGTTGAGAATTAATTTAATTGCCCCAGGTTAACTGCTCCTCCATCAGATTGGACCCAGCTCCAGCTGAGCTCACACCTACCCTTAATGGGGCTGATATTATAGTTTTTCCCCATATAGACACAAAATTAATTTAAGCCTATTATTTAATCCTATTTCCCTGCTATTATTTACAGAAGGGCACATTCTTATAGGAAGGACTTACAAAGAAATACTGGCACAGATTTTTGATGGGGTCTGTATCAATAGGACAAGAGGTGATGGCTTTAAGCTAAAAGAAGGTAGAGTCACAGTAGATATAAATGAGAAATTGTTTATGATGAGGGTGGTGAGGCCCAGGCACAGGTTGCCCAGAGAACCTGTGGCTGCCCCTGGATCCTTGGAAGTGTTCAAGGCCAGGTTGGACGGGGTTTGGAGGAACCTGGGATAGAGAAGGTGGCCCTGCCCATGGCAGGAAAATTGGACTAGATGGTCTTCAGGGTCACTTTCAACACAAATTACTCCAGGATTCCATCTCCACTCATGTGTTGCTGGGTGGGTGCCAGAGCAGCAACCCCAGAGCTGCGGTTTGCCGTGTGGACAGCCCTCCCCCAGCAACAGGAGCCAGGCCAGCGAGCCACACGCCACATGAAAACTATTTTCGTTTAACGTATTTGGGTTATTTCCTCTGGGGGATCATCTGCCAAAAAAACGCCAGCAAGCAAAACCCTACAAATAAACACCACCCGGCTTCTGCACAGCTGTGGCTCTCAGCTGCACACGGGCCTTTGTAAAGACAGAAATACAGTCATCTTCTGCAGCGAAGAGAAACACGTAAGGAAGTTTGGATTTATGATGAAAGGGTCAGGAGTTGCAAGCACAGGTTTATTTTCAATTCCAGACACTCCTAGCAGCAATATAAAGTAGCCACGTTAAACTCTCTGGAGCTTCTCTGCTTGGCAATTTTGCGTTAACGACTTTCCAGAATGAAAGAGGAGGTGAGGACATGAATTCACTCTGCCTCTAATGCTGCTGCCACACCGGCTGGGATAGCAGGGAGAGGCAAAGGGAAGGTTTAAAGAGGTGGGAATAACATCACCAATTCTGGCATCCTGAGCGGTTAAAATCTAACCCAGAGAGTCACGACACACTCAGCAGGTAACTGGGAAGGAATTGCGGGCTCGTGGTTGGGATGCTGGACTGGAATCAATCAGTTCATCATCCCACACCAAACTCCTACCTGCAAAAGAGGGAATATTACTCACCACCCCTCTGCCCCAGGAAAGCTGCTAAACACAGGCTTATAAGGTGCTCTGCATATCTGAAATATCCTCATCTCGGACTGATTGGCAGCTCCCAGGGTAAAAATGCCCTCACAAGTCCCACCAGCTGCCTCTCCATCCCGGGCTGAAGGGAAGGGGGACCAGCTGGTGGGAGGCTGGGGTCTGCTCCTGCCACCACTCCCTGTGTCAGCAACTGGGGGGTTCATCTGCAGCCGTGACACCACGGCCAAGTGTCACATTCACCAGTGAAAAAGGAAGGATGTGCAGAAGAATGGGCCTGATTTCCAGGAGGGTTCTGGCAGGAGTTTGCCTCCTCCAGGATTAAGCCTGTCAAATAAATAATTAACACATCCAAGCCCTCCTGCAGAGGATGGTTTTACGAGGCTGGTGCTGGCTCAGTCCCTGAGGGATTCACTGAGTCCCCAAAACCCCAAATTCAGCAGAAGGGTTAGAGATTTGATTACAGCACCTCCTTCCCCGTCCTCATCTGATTCCCCAGCAGGAGTGAGCTCCTTGGCATTGCAGGAGTGACTGAAGCACCAGGTATCAGGGGGCCAGTGCAGACAGTGCTCATAATACATCAATTGTCCCTTAAACATCTGCTTTAGCCATTTGCCTCTGAAACAGCCCCTGATAATCAAACACAGCCTAATCCATATTTGGGGAACAGCCTCAATAAGGGATTAGCCACCCCTCATTCCTCCTTGCTTTCACTCTGGAGAAATCTTCCTCCTCGATCAAAGCACCTTTTTCCAGATCTCTCAGCAGGCTCCAAAGCAATTCCACAGACTCACTGGGGATAAAGGCTGTCCCAATGGCCAAGCCTTTGATTTACAGCTAATACCTAACAGCCCTGTCTTCACACGGTGGCAGGTACTTGGCTTCTCACTCCTGTTATCTCAGGCTTGGCCACCGCAAAGGATGGAGGGAACACATACATTAAGGGCTGTCTGTGCTGCCAGCAGGGCCAGGGAGCCAACAGCAATAAGAAATCAACAGGAACACACATTTCAGTCTTTGCAAGGAGATATCCAAGGTCTTTTCCATCATCTGACTGCAAGATCTCCTTTCCTTCCTACAGCAAGGACCGTGTGAGGGTGAGGGTGGGCATGTGTC